TCTAAGAAGGGCGAGGCTCATGATGGGCTATCTAAGTGTTTTCGTCAATTTTATGAGTAGTGCTTCACGTCCCAAAGGTGAACCCCTGTTCCATGCCTAATAAGAGGAACACATATAGAGGGTTGTGCCTTGTACGCATTTGGGAGCATTCTGAAAGCGTACAACTGCAATGATTATCCAAACAGAATGTGAAATCCTCGGAGTCAAGCCTAACGAATTAAGATAAGGTAGCAGTTTAGAGAACTACAAAGGACAGAATGACCTCTCCACAGCTTAATTTACCCTGCCTCCTCTATTACTTCCACTTCACCGAGTTTTTTCTGGAATGCTCTGAGCGGATTCATAAATGACCGGATGCAGGTAAGACTGATCCGCTGACCGGAGGAAACGCTTGCATGAAATCAGAACGACAGCACGCGGGCGCTTCTCGTGAATGAACATCGAGAAATAAGCTTGTGACCTAAACAAGAAGAACGAAACGGTATGTGTCGCACTCCAAGTGTAAGATAAACAGTTAAATCTCCGTTATTTAGCAAAATGGTCCAAACTAAGAAACGCGCAACAGTTCTCGTGAAACAATGGACATTTGCTCGGTATCAAGTAGGCTTAATAACAACAGCACTTTCATCCTGAAGTTGGACATCTTGAACAATACATCACACGAGTCTGAAATCCTGCGGCAGATTGCCAAGATTCAAGAAGGAATATGCAAAGTGAAAGAGGAGACAAATAGGATGTGCTGAGTCAGATGGATTTTGCGACAGTCAAACCAGATCTTAGAGTAGATTAACGTCGGAAGCATTCTAGACAAACATCACATTAATCTTTTGTGGCATCAGCCAAAATGATCCTCCACAGAAAGCGTTTTTCGACAACTTTGTTATTTTATAACTTGAAAGGATTTCCTCTATTGCCTGGCGTAAGTGGACATCAAACGATTGCGCAAAAATCACTCAGATGTTACGTCATCCATTGGTTTTTTTTATTTACTGGTAGGTTCTAATTCCACTCTTGTTTCCCCATTGTTTTTTTTATTTATTGGTAGGTTCTAATTCCACTCTTGTTTCCCGGTCTGATAAAAGGGTTCTTCAATTAACGAGAATAGAAAAAATGCAAACATGAACTGACCAACATCAGTTTTCCGTTTGAAGATGGTTTGTGCGTTTGTTGGACTATTTGGCCAATAAAGAGAACGAGTGAACGAGCGAAATGCACTCACAAGTTGATTGATGTTAACCCCAAAAGCGACCAAAAGGGAGATTTTGATTCTCGTCATTGTGAGAGACATTTGATAATTGCATGCACAATGAATCCAGTGAGCATACAAACCAAGTACCTAAATCACAAGAAAACTTGTGTGTTGATGCGTATTTATAGAAGCTGAACGCTCCAGCCGTCGGAAGTTTTTTGCTTCGAAATAATTTACGGTTATTGATTTAGTCAAAATCGACACTCTCATATCCACTATAACATTGCATACCAATTGTTCGACTACTTGTGGATGCCAAAATATTTTTTTACCACTCAGCCATCAGTGTAATTTAGTAAAGCGAGATAAAAATAAAGAATCTTTCGGCTGTAACACCCTTTCGGACCCTAGCTGCCATACCACCCGAAGGAAGTAAAATGGCTGGGATAATGCCATGTTTCCCAAGCCTAGACGGGAGAAGTCAATGTACAGAGCTCGGGTTCGAACCCCGGACTTTCCAGTAGGCAAATTCGTCCTCTGATCACTGGGCCATCTGGCCCCCATTGCAAATACTTCAAAACTCGTAAGCTCCACATGTTGATGTGTTTAATCCGACAGCATGGCTGGACACGAATGTGTCTTAGAGCACTTCTATGAAAAGTTATGATCAGATAATTGTGCCAAGTACAACTTAATTTGGCCAATCTCTCACCCAGGCAATCGCCATTAACATCAGAGACTTGTTCAAACGATCGGGGTTCATCATGACAGGGCCATGAAATTTCTATCTCCGTCATCATGAACTTTTGTGCCAATTTCCACTAACCAAGGATGTTAAAGACCTACTCAGGGTGTCTCTAGAAACACGAACCGTAGTACTCGCTCGAATGTACACCTTTGGCAATAACCAGATGATGTACGCGGGTGTTAGATCTTTTATGGTGATAAGTAAATCACCTTGGGCAAATTCACACTTCAATAGGAGGTGGGCGTAATTCTGACGTACGAGACCTCAAAATAGGTCGCTTGATTACCACACGATGGAAGTCATTTTAAAATTGCCCACTCAAAGAAATGCTCTCGGCTTTCTCACGCTCGCAATGTTACTTAACTTAAAAAGTCCTCCCAGGTAACTAAGAGTTAAGTACTGGTGAAGCTCAAACTCAATGATTGCCGAAATTTCTCTGCTGCAACAACCCGAGTCAACTTCGAAAAACTAAATTTTGTTTTCATATTGGAATAAAAGAAGACACTCGACTGCGCAGTTAACCACTTTTTTTCGAAATTCAGGGGCACTGATACACAGGACGTCACCGAGCTCAGATGCAAGTGGGCCACACGAAACCTCGTGTCATGTCAGTTAGCAGACCAAACGAACCTGATAGTTTTGCGAACAGATCTGTAAGCAGAGTCGATCACCCTAGTTACCAGGACATTTACTCTGTAGAACCAACGATCTTTTTAAATGAATGGTTGTATCTGGTTTCATACCCGGAGATGGTAGTACCAGATTGGTTTACCGCTGAATTGATCAATTCAACCTCGGTTAAGTGGTAACGGGCTTCCTCTAGGAGACACTGTTACGGTTCCCTCTCAATGGAGATGGCTTTTTTGTTTTAACTTGAAAAAGAGCGTAGAATGATAACGCCAGCACCCTAGCAGGAAGAAAATAGTGCTGATACATCTTGTCATGCTGCAATGCGTTGTCCGGCTGGTAAGAGTTAGTTGTATTTGTTTGTTACCGTTGATCATGCTAATATCAAATATTCACACGTAGTGTCGCATGGCTCAAACGCCGCTGACTGCCGAGGCGGCGTGGGATGTCACTTATAAAGTGTCTTCATTTTCTGGTGACTCTTGCGATTGATATATGCAAGATTCACCATTAGACAATAGAGATTTCATTCTGCCAGTGAAGCCATCCGTACTGAGAGGCCGGAAAGCAATGTACAGCTGTTTCGTCCCCAACAGCAGTGCAAATCTCACGAAACTCAGAGAGCTTTCAAGCTCGAGTTTCTGACCAGTAATTGAACACTTGACCGTTTGGCCACGAGTGTCCGGTCAGCAGTGTGATTAGATTTCACTTAGAAAGGACAGCGCCACTCATCTTTTAATAACGGAAGCCACGTCACGTGACGCTTTCCTCGAGTGACGAGTTGTCAGAAAGAAGTTTCACACATCCAGTGAAATCATTCTCCCTCTGAGCTGCTTATTCGTCTATGGAATGGTTCTACCCTAATCATGCGTTTTTCAAAAAACAGTGAACGGTGATTGTGCATTGGTGTACTTACGAATCAGCGCTTGTTTGTATGTGGTAATTTACAAAATGTGCGTGGAAAATTCGAACAACTCAGGCCTCAAGAGGGAAGGAATGCTCATCTGTGAGACCAGATTTTTTCTGGCTCTTTTGCTGACATTTCCTTCTAAGAACCCCCGCCAAATTTGGGACCATTCATCAACTGGCGTGTTCGATTGGAACCATTCATCAACTGGCATATTCGAGACCCGCCTCGCAGACAATGGTTCAGGCAAAGAAAGGGCGACATCATTAGTTTAGAAAAAATTTCAATGGTTGGCTACTTCAATTCGTTTTCGTAGCTGACATATTCGGTGACAAACCTTGCTTAATATGGTACGGTTTTGTTTTACCGGCCAACTTCACTGCGGCCGTTGGAGAAAAATCATGCATGCTTTGATTCAGAGGGCTGACCAGTGACTCTGTTCACAATAGCACTGAAGACATATGAAAACCTGATGCTAGCTAGAGAAGTTTGAGAAAACACGGATAGTTTTGGGAGCGAATGAGGAATAGCTACCTACGGATGTGCGATACCAAATCATGCAAGGCTAGACGTATAAACTAACTTCACTCACAAAGGAGGAGAAGGCGGTTTGCTTTGTTCACGAAAAGTTTTTGCACAGTTATACTAAACTGATTTGATTGCTACCTCCAGTAGAGGACGAATGGTTTATTCGTGATGGCCTTTCTGAACCAATAGTTTAGTTTGAGGAATATTCGGTATTCAGCGCGATTATTTCACTTCCAATACTGGCTTTGTAGGAACCTCGGAGTTTCGACCAAACTTCTTAGTATGTCGATGACAAAGGCAAGAAATTAGAATAAAGTACGGACAATTATCACGAACGTGTTTTACTGGTTGATTGCAATCTCTATTGGCCTAATAAACAACTCGCCGTGAGTTTTCACAAATAAGTACAAAAGAGAATAAACCCGTGTTCAGTAAAAATACACAACTCCATGGTTGATTGCAAAATAATTCAAAACAAGCATTGGAAGTAGCTTTCCGCATATGGTTTGCCAGTAAAATTGTAGTGACAGCGATTAGTTTGAACGAAATGAAATGTGGCAAGATAATTTCATTTAATTCGATGCTGTGCAGCTCACGAGAATAAGACTAGAGATTTTAGGAGAGCCCAAGCAAATGCGGTGCGATAGGGGGTCTTTGGGATAGTATTTGTACACACACACACACACACAGGAGTTTGTACATCAGGCCGTGGCTTTATGACAACACCAAATGAAAAAAAACAAATCCGTCGGCGCTGCTACGGATGAGAGATGTAGGCTGAAAGACGAAGCAGTTGTTTGTGTCTCACACAAACGCCGAAACTAGTGGGTAAGTGGCCTTGGTTCCCATTGTCATCCTTCGTCACAAAATGATTTCATCACAGTGACAGATCTGTTGGTAGCACATAGGAAATGCAATGATCCAAATATTCCAGTTGGAACACCGTCTGTATGTGTACTTGTCTGCCCCGGTTCTTAGACTACTTGTTCCTGATTGGATGACTAGTAGACCTGAGCATAGGTTGAGCTTTGCGGCTCGTCCGCTGCCAGAGGTACGTGGATGGAAGTGCCGAAATTAGACGTAACTGGTCCATTCGCCACAGTAAATAGATAAGGTCGGTGGTGCTCTAGGCTTTTATTGGTCATTCTATGGGAATATGTGCTGTCGGATTCGTCGTCAGAGGACTCAGCATTCATGTCATACACAGCAGGTCGATTTTCTTTTCTTGTTTCTGGCAAGCGAGAAGGGATGCGAGGGTCGGGGAAATGGGACAAGCATGAACTGGAACGGTCAGATGTCTGACACTGGTCGAAATCTTTGTATCTGAACGGGATGTTGATAGGCTTTGTCGGAGCTGGTGGTGGAGGTGATGCGGGCGGAGGTGGTATGTTATCATCAGCAAATGAGTAAATACTATCGGTCGCGGAATTTCCGCTCGGACTGGTGAAGGCCACATTTCTTGTTGGACCAGAACTACCGGAACCTTGAGTTACAGATCCTGGTGATCGATTACGCAAGTTTTTATTACTTTCTTCGCTTTGCTGAGTGGTCGTCGAGGCGGTAGATACAGATTTACTCTGAGAAGATGAGGTGTTGTGTGAACCAACTGGCATATCGGAATTCACATGTTTTGCAGGCGTGGCAACGCAGCTCTGAGATTCTAGTACTGAATGTTCCGTGTTTGGTCCACAGATTCGTACCGGTGAAATTGTAGCTCGTTGATCTCGTAGGCGTTCCATGTTGGGGAGTCGCTTAGTCGAGTAAGAGCTTCCTTCACTCATCGATGACTGTGAGTTAGTCCCAGAATGGTTATGAACCTCGGTTTTGTCACAGTCAGAATCCAATCGCTTGTCCAAATTTCGCAGATAGGACTGAGGCTCAGGGGGTAGGACATTCTGGATGATGGAAGCTGTTGCATAGGGAGCCACAGAACCGAACGATCCAACACTCTCGATAACAGACGAGGGTGTCCCACGTTCCATTACAACCAGATGACTTCCAAGTTGTGCCACGGGTGCAATAGGAGGAAGCCCACCTCCACTTGTACCCTGGAAATAGGCCTGGTTCCGCTCGGCAAGGGCAGTGGGATTTGGGAATTCCATGGTCGATTGTGAAAGCGGTACCATTTGTGTCTGATAGGTGAGATATGTTGGAGGTTGTGGCATGCCGTTAGGCGGATGATTCGCTAAGTTATTCGACGTAGGCACAAGCATCGGTCGAAAAGCTGGCTGGTTCAATGGGGTGTAGTCGAAATTTTGTGTTACATGAGGAGACATGGTTTGAGGTCGTGATGCCAGTGTACCGTTGGACTCGTATGTGACGAATCCAACACCATCAACCAGAGAATGTGACACAGGATACACGGAATTCCGGTTGACTGACGTGTCCGTCATTCTCGACGGCCACTGGATCCGATCCATCTCACTCTGCGTCACAGAATAAACGCCATAGTTACTCACGTCCTCGGTGGTAGTGTGCACTTGGTTTGTACTAACTGGTAGACTGGCAAACATTTCCAAATCAGATTTGAAGGGAGCAGGGGAAATTAACGGTTCCAGTTGAACATTGTTGGTTCCTTTCATAAATCGACCAGTTCGACGCCCGTCTATGGACCCCTGCGCATTCACTCCATTATCACCTGTCAGCGATGTGGAATGTGAGTTATTGGTAATCAGTACGGCTCCTGCAGTTTTCCGTAGGGTGTAGCGTTGTCGGCGACAAAAACACACAATCAGCGTAGTTAACGTGATCCATAGGACAATACTGATAACCAGAATAATTATAAACCATGGTTGTTGAATAAAAGGCTTTACATTCCCGGGCTGGTTCTTATTTGACTGGGTTTTGGCAGGTAAACCTGTACGTTCATCATAACCCCATCCAACACCAAGACCTGGTTGCCGCAAATCTGGATTCAGTTTGAGCGGTTTGCTGCGTAAGCCAACACCTTTACAGGTTACTGCAGCCATTTGTATAAAGTATGCGCTCGGGCTTGTCAAACCGCGAATGCGTATTTTCATCTCCGAATTGATTGTTGTATTGAAAGTTTGATAGTTGTGTGCAAATTCATCATAAACATAGCTGGCATAGCCGGACAAAAGGCCGTTCCATGCAGACACTGGTGGCGCGGTCCAGGTCAGTTCAACTTCCGTGGCAGACACCCAAAGGGCTGCGATTCTATCGGGAGGAAGACTGGGGAAACTCTCGAAAGTCAGAACAGTGTGGGCAACACTTTCTCGCCCCTCGATTTTTCCAAGTAAACCATTGGTTAAGTGAGACTTTACACTGACTTCGTAGCACCGAAACGGTTCAAGATCGCGCAAAAGCCCGGATCCCTCAAGCACCACAGGATGCATTTGTTCAAGTTGCCTTTCGTTGGGGACAAAGTCGGCTTTCACATCTAAACTCATTGTCGAACTTGTTTTGGGTGTATACTGACTGTCCTTGGGCTGGTGTGCAATGGTTCGTAGACGCTGGAAGTCTTGTAGACGTAGATACAGTTGACTTTTGGAATCACCTTCTCTTATCTGCAGGCTACAATAGGCACTCTCGTTTTCTGCTACGTCTGCCGTCTCGGCGGAATTTAGCAGATTTAAATTAGCGGCAATACATCGTAGGATGTTAGCCTCACGGTAGTAAATTGTGAACCCATTGATTAGTTGAAGAATGCCTGGTGGTTCTTCCACAGTCCAGCTCACCCGCAAATGCCTAGGCGTCAGTGCATAGAGCTTCAGGCTATGGATCTCCACTCGTTCCATAATAGATACTAGGTCCTTGTTCGTCAGTCCTTTGTGTAATTGACCTGTGGTCTGGTCACCCGATCTACCTGCAAAAGCTGACGAAAAGGTTAACACCGGTCCTATCGGTGGACTAACCCAGCCAACTCGTCCGTCACTCCAGCGAGGGCGAATCAGAAAGTAATACACAGTATTGGTCTCTAAGCCACCAATTTTTACCGTGTTCGCTTGCCAGTTCTGTTCCACGGTCTTCCAACCTTCCAAGGGTCGGTCAGCACGGTAAAACTCGACCCAATAGGTTATCGGGATGTGATGTCCGTCAAATCGATCCCCTGAGTCACGTGATCCAACACCAGGATCAATCCAGTTGGCCGCATCCCAGGCCAATGTAACGGTTGTGTCAGTGTGATTGGTCACATGAACATTTCTCGGTGGTGACAGTGGGTTTTCTTGACCATACTCGGGTGGTATTAGGGTCCCAAATGGCACAATGTTCAAATATGCTGTCCAGTTAGACTGCAACATCAAGGGAGCGTCATGTTTTGACGAAGAGAGGCGAACTAATGTGTGTGCCGAACAGGTATAGCTTCCAGCATCATTCAGTTGAACATCGACGATTTGCAAGCTTCCCCCTGGTAGAAGACTGTAACGTTGCACGTCAGCAAAACCAGAAAAATCCAACAGCTCAGTCTCGTGTCCGGTTGATGCAGTGTTTCGATACCAGTTCACAGTCCAATCTGAGCTCTGAATTCCCATCGGCTGTTTATGCACGTGCACGCCTGCTTGGACGCTTGCCCGACTGATACTGAGTTCGCAATCCAGAGTGACAACATCGCCGACAGTGCGAGTCTGATTCGCAGGAGGTAAGCCGATGATTGGAGCAAAAGGGAAATGAGCATGGGTGTTGGAGTTCCCTAGATTCGTGTGCGGTCCCTCTGATTTCTTGCTTTCTGTATTTGCGTGGGGATCTGGGATGACATGAAGGATAGCACTGGAATGAATCCGGTCAATGGATGAATGCGCAGTGCATTGATATTTTCCTGAATCACTTAGCTGAGCACGACTGATTTCCAAACGCCCATCACTGTGAAGATAAAATCGATTGTTGTTGTTCGTTGCAGTTAAATGATCTGACGGAAAAATTGGTGTTTTATCAGGCAATTCCCAGTAGATCGATGGCTTTGGGTAACCGTTTGTGATACAATGAAAGACAGCAACATCACCTTCATGAACTGTCAAATCGTCCGGTGTCCGAGAGAATGTTGGGGGAGTTTCAACGGTTAGTTGAGCATCGGCAGCAATCCCTCCAGGTGCGGTACAAACATAAACACCAGCGTCACTGGGCTGAACATTTTTTAGTAGTAGATAACCCTCGGCCAACTCAGTACGTGTGTGATCGATAATTCCACCACCATCTTGACCTTTGCCCCACTGCACCAAGTGATTCCCCTCTGTCCGACATCTGAATTTCACGTCCATACCCTGACGGGCCCGAACATCTTTGGGTGTCTCAATGAAGCGCACACGCGGCTGAATGGTAAGTTTTGCTGCAGGTGACTGAGTTTTACCAATAATATTTCCCGCAACACAAACATACGATCCAGAATCAGAGAGCCTAACAGAATCAAACTGAAGTTCACCTTGTTCGGTCACCTTTACGGACGGTAAACTCGGCAAAGTGATATTGACAGGCTGTGGTAAGTGACCTTTCATGGCAAAGGGTTTTCCATCTCGCAGCCATAGTACGTATGGCTTCGGAACTCCTTTCGGTGGTACACACTCAAGCAAAACACGATCACCTTCGTGCACAGTTTTGTCTAATGGAAGTTGACGGAAAACAGAATCCAGATAGGCTAGGCCTCCTTTGACTGGTGGGTGACTCACTGTCCACCCGGCACTGTTTGAAGCGTTGCAGTAGAACGTGTAGACCTTGTCCCGTGTAGGGTTTGAAATCATCAATCGACCGTAATGCTGATTGACGTGAATTCCCGATGTCGAGCCACTGGTGGGAACGCGGTCGATAACAGTCTGACCTGTGCCTGCATCGTACCAGTGGATGACCGGTTTTGGAACACCATCAGCTTGACAAACGAACTCTAGTACACCATCCGCTGAATAGGTGTCTGTTGGTGGCTGGCGAATAATCGGTTTCTTTGAGCTTTCCTGGGGTGCAACAGTCTGTGCAGTCTCGGATCTCTGGAAGTTTGTCATCCATAGGATCAAGTTGAGAACGTGGAACCACACAAACATTGGCGAATTGTGACGGAGTAGAGTGTGGCCAAATCAAAGGAGAGGGCATCTAGGATTGAGAGCAAAAAAGGCACAGCATAAGGAATTGATTTAGAAGACAAATAGGGCTGTTTTATAGTACAACCAATGGAAAAACTCAACAGGTGATTACTTGATGGCCCCAAAACTGAACTGCCAATATATTCCGTGTAAATTCTGAATAATAGTTTCCTAAGTGCAAGTGTTTAAACGCTTCCCATCAAAATCAACCTAAGATTCCAATTATCTGTGTCAATCACGATATGGTCCCTGGCCTAGTCACCACAAATTTAGATGAGGCGTGACCAACTTCGCCCGGGGTCAAACGCCAATCTCGACTGAAGGGTGCGGTAAACAACGCCATCTGGTTGCTGCGCCGTTGCCTAAAAGTAGTGCGTAATTGCCACAGGTGAGGTAACTGATGTGACTCTGAAAGAATGTCCATTTTTTGTCTAAGCTGCATTTGCTAGAAAGGGGTGGAGCCCGAACGATTTGTTTCCTGCACATGTGTGGACTATCTGTCAGTTAAGAAGTCGGTGAAAAATTCAATACTCGTATTCTAGGCAACATGATTCAATAGAGCGCTATTCACAAGGGAATCACGATGTGTATTCTATTATCTCACAACATTTCTTAAAAATTCAAGCTCCAGTGCACTTGTTTGTTTATGATAAAACGATTAGGGCAATAGTTTACTATCAAAGACTGATCAGCAAAGTCGCAAATATCAAGGAAAAGCGCTTAGCAAATGATGTGACACTACTGTTTATTCGAAGATACAAAAGATGACGGGCAATTGGAAAGTGTGCATGGATTTGAGGGGAGGAGGGCTATTTTGGCGAAAAAGGCTAGTGACCAGTTCGGGGAGGATGCAAAATTGGCAATGTGGCGAGTTTGTGTACTCCACTGAGAGCGTAAATTCATGGTTGGTTACTGATTCGATACCGAACAAATACCCTATTCACTTTGAAAAATAAATATGAGGGCCGCTCAGTGGAAGAATTCGAAGACAGCGTGAGTTTGAATCCAAGCGGCTGTTGTCCAGAAACTCTGAACCATTGCATTCGGTACTGATGATGGAAGTGAATACTACTCTCGAGATAAAATGCAAATATCGATCCTGTGGATGTGCTCATTTTAACCCGAATCTTCATGGACAGCGCGTTCATCAGCCAATCAGCATAACCGCCGCATAACTGTTAATTAGCACTCAGAAACTAAGCTAGCGAATTTTGAAATGAATATGCCCCGCGGTCAGTTCCGGACATTTGCTCGCGCGTTTCCAAGGGGCTTATGCTAATGTGGGAAACGGTGGTTACGTACATCCAGTGGTATTTCAAGATAACTAAGCTAATTTTGAAATGAATATGCCCCGCGGTCAGTTCCGGACATTTGCTCGCGCGTTTCCAAGGGGCTTATGCTAATGTGGGAAAGAAACGTTACGTACATCCAGTGGTATTTCAAGATGTGGAAGTTCATATGGCATCTAAATTTTACCAGTACTTTATATATATATATATATATA